AGCCAGCTATTATAATAAAACTGTATTTGAAAATATAGCAGAGATAAAGGCTAGCAATAATCAGATATATATTCTAGATTTATTTTGACCTCAATTTAATTTGAAGAGGAATCTAAATATATCAAACAAAGATTTAACATTTATATATGTATTTTTTTTTTTTAATTTAATATTTGAATTGAATATATTTTATTGAAAATTTTAAACAGTGTTGATTGACAAGAAATGACTCTTAATAATAAATATTGCCAAAAAGGGTATATGATCATACTGAGAATACTTCACAAGAAAAGCTCATTCCAGACTTCATTGATCAAAATTGCAAGTTTCTCTCTCTCTCTCTCTCTTTCTCTCTCTTTGTTATTTAACAACAATAAATATTACACTGCATAATTGTTTGCTTAAGCAAATTACAACTATTAATAATATATTTAAGCAGAGCTAAGTTCTTCTCAAGCTGTAAGATTGCCTTATATATTTGCTTAAGCAACGACTTCACACATATTTCTGCTCAGGGGCGCGCTGCTCCTATTTCCTTTTCAGTGAAAAGCAGAGTCGACGGTGAAATCTGAACTTGAGCTGTGCCAGTCACGTTTAGCTGAGCTGTGCTCGTGTCACGCTCCGCTCTCGACTCGGCTGGAGTCGTCTCAAGGCACACAAAGTGGCACATAATCAAATGCCAGCAGATGATAATGAAGGAATAAAGTGGAAGTGCGTAAGGATGGGAGCAGAGGCAGACGGGCAAACGGGCAGACAGACACCTGGGCCGGGGGCCGTGGGGCAGACGGGCCGCGGCTCAGTTAATAAAGTTCTAGAGCAACAGTTAATTTTAATTTAGTTAAAAGAAATGACAAACACAGGTATCTTTAGATACACAATCAAAGGCACGCCTGAATCCTGGCACGGAAATAAGATAAGTTTTCGAGGAGCTCATTACGCGGCAACAGATACAGACGCCAAAGGCCTGCAGCAAAAGCAGCAGCAAAAGGCATCAACATTTCGCTTGTTGCACCAAAAGAATTTGAGCCAAATCATGGAGAGCTCCACTTCAAGGCTGGCCAAGATTGATGGACAGTTCGAAATAGCGAGAGAGAGAGAGCGATAGAGAGAGAGACAGAGAAGGAGGGAGAGAGGACCGTCTCTATATGAAATTGGTATCGATTTCTGTTATCTCGGTCCACCTGTCTGCTGTGGACAGGTGAGCGACACATCATACACACATCCATTATATATATATGCCACATGCTACAAATTAGCGCGATAATTGCGTTACCTGGTTACTTGGCCACTTGATGAAGTGTCGCGTGTGTCCTGTTGCCTTCGAGCTAAGCTTAATTTATTATGATTCATTGCCCAGATGCTTCGGATTGGTTTCAACTTGAAGCAATATCTCGTATTCTTATAGAAAATGATTTAATGCATTAACTAAATCCCTGTTCATCTCGATTTAACTTTCTTAACCAAGTCACATTGTCCGAGCTGGCACTTGGCAAAGTTTTTCCTATGCAAATTCTATATCTGATGACTCATAAAACTTGAACTCTTAATGGACCCATATAATACAAGGTAGGGCAGGTTGTAAATTTTAAGTGCCCAGTTACTATTTGCAGGATTTATCGCGAAATGCGAAGGCGAGCAGCCAGAAAATTAATTACTTTTAGTTAATGACAGCTCTATGTTAATGGCAACACGGCTACTGATTAATACGATAATGAAATGGCAAACATTTAAATGGTGCTCCAACTCCGACTCCAACTCCATCTCCAGTTCCAACTGGCAGACGGTGCTCGCCAACCGAATGAGTCTGAGTTCAGCAGCCGAAGGCAGCAATATTGTTCATTCATCATCTTCCATTTGTGGGCGGGCGTCATTATTGGCGCCTTACTCAATATAAGTTCCACCCACGCCCACTCGTCGGGGGTATTATGAAGGCATTATTTGTTGGCACAGCTGAGCCAGGGACAACAAACGTGGCAGCAGCAGGCTTTGTTGTCAAGGCATCATCTGACCTATTGCCGGCTATTTTGAGCTCGCACCGCTCACTGCTGGTCATCAGCTCCAGTGGCGTTTTTCAATTTAGCCATTTCCGTTGCACACACACACACACACACAGACACATATACACAGCATGATTAAGCAATCAGGGCCGCCTAAAAGGCGGCCACATTTTAACTAAATCAACGCCCGAACGGAAAGCAATGCCTTGGATTTATGCGCACATTATTTGCACTGGCTGTGTAATAGAAATCTTTATGAGTTGGCACTAAAATAAAATAAAATAGAGAACAGCAGAAGAGAGAAAAAAATAAAACAAGTAACTTTGTGCCACACGAGGCATTAAGTCGCATTAAGTGTTTAGAATGTAAGCTACTTGTATACCATGTCGGAGTACATAGAGCTCATGCTGACGGCTCTTTAATTGAAGTGAAATATACAAGTCGCGTTTGCTCTATTTGCTGTCAAATTTATGATGGCTCTGGCTTTAGTTTGATAAATGTGAAATTCTAAATAAATTGAAAATTTATATACCCCTAATATATTTTGTATTTCTATTAGGGATTCTACTAGAGGAAACGTTAATAATAAGATGTTTATCATTCGACAGTCTAACTCATTTATTATTAATTTACGGCAGCCTACTCTCAGTCCTAGTGACAGGGCATCGGTTAGTCAATCATTTTAATATTAGCAGAAATAATGTGAAACCCAATCAAGGAAAGGGTTTAATTCTATTGTCTAAATTGAACAATTTTTATGTCATACTAAACCAAATCAAAATATAATATATATCGTGAGACACTCTTTACGGACCTATGGTATATAGTTATTTAATATTTTTCAATTGGTTACTTACATGTCGCCATAAGTCGCCATTAGAGTGCTAACCCAATACACAAACTGTATATCGAGAGCTGGCTAAAAGCAAAAACATGTCGACATGCAACTAAAAGACATACATCAAGTACAATCAAATTGAGCTCAATTTTGCAGGAAATCATTTTCATTTTCATTTGCAGTACAAAACGAAATGAAAGCAAAGCTGAATGCGAGAGAGAGATAAAGAGAGTAGAGTATATTAAACTTATCCGACTACAAGTTAGTCTATATGCAACCAGAAAATCTTTAAACTGTCTGATGATCTAAAAATTAATCAGCCATAATTTAAGGAAAACTAAATAAGAATTGTGAATAACAAATGGAAAGTGAAAGAGAGGATATGCGAATGTGTTCCTTAACGCCTTTCAGCAATCGCATAATACCCTTTCTTACACGCTTTCAATGGCTCTAACGCACATAAAATGCGACTCTTCCGTTGGCCTAGGTTTTGGAAAATGGCTAACAAACAATGTAAACCTTACACGAATGGAGCGTAAAATGTCAGATGCGTTTGATTTAGGTTCGGGCTGGAGAACAATGGTTGCTTGTGAATAGAAACGTTCGCCTCGCAAGTGACATAGGGGATCCCATTGAACAAAAGCCGCTTAAACGAAGCGAAAACAATTTTTCGCGCATATCAAGTGAATGCCACAGGCGGCAAAAGGAGCTAAGCTGTGCCTTGAGCCGAAAACTGCCATTGGGCTTCAGCCTGAGTTTCTGTGGGGGGAGGGGTCGCCAGAGGCATGCGCGTTATTTGTCGCACAGAAGCCACAGCTTCAGGCACACGCGCACACACACACATGTCACACACGCACACACAAATATCAAGGTAGTAAATTGTGGCTTTACGCAAGCTGCGATACGTTTGTGGCGCTTGCATCTCGGCAAATTTAAGAAACTCACAGCGCAGCCACTTGGCCATCACTAAATGCATTAACGTCAGATATTTTTTGTGTTTGTGTTTGTGTGCGTTGGCTGCAGCTGCAGTCTGGCAGTTTGTGTTGCGGCTGGCAAACAGCACTTTCGACATTTAATTAAAAAATCATACGAACACATACACACACACACACACACGCACATGCGAGCACACACGCACTCAATGCCAAAAGCAAACTCTGCATATTGCATACAATTATGGTTTAATGGTTCAGGCCTTTCGTGACTTTTAATTAAGTTAACATTAAAAGATGCCAAGACAAAGGCGAAAAGTGTGTGCCCAGAGCAGGTAACATTGATTAAAGTATCTTTAAAAATTTCAATTATTAAATTAATCAGTTGATGCGGCATCCCAAATATGGCCAATAAATTATACAAATTTAATTTAAACTTCCATAAAAATAGTTTTGCCTTGTTCTCTTTACAACAACTATCAGTTTAACAGAAAATTTAAAAAATTAACAATAATTAATAATTTCAACCTCTAATTTCTTGAGAGTTTGAAGACTTGTTTCATTCCACATTGGCTAGCGCTTTCAGTTCACTAATATGAAGCAGCATTGCTCTATGTTCAATTTAAAGCTCCAACGAAAAGCAATTAAAACCGATCGAAGCTCGTCACAGCGGCCAAAAAGTGTTGGCCACAGGCAACAGACAAACAGGCCAAGCGCTGAGGTCAGTGAAGCCAGAGTGAATTGGCTGGCTTTAATAGCCAATATAGCGGGCTTACCTTGCTGCGACAAGTGCCAATATCCAAAATAATATGACTGCACGGCAATACTCACTCAGGCAGCTATAAAGCCCGAGTGAGGCCGCTATGGGGGATAGTTAAGCCGTTAAGGGCAGACCGAATGGTCAGGTTAATTGGCTGGAACAGCAGCACCACTACAATGAGCAGCTGTTTATATCAGTTGGTTGACGGCGCCCGGAAACCCTGATGATAGAGAAGCCATTTACACAGACCATTTCATCTGAAATATATTCGTTCTTGAACTACTTTAAGAGCTCTCCTCTGCCAAGGATAATCCTAATCCAAGTAGCAAGTGGCAATTCAACTTAAAAGCAAACAAATTAAATGATAATTCAGCTTCGATTGCTTTTCAAGCGCCCTTTTCGGGATATTTGTACAGTAAGGCTGCAGCATTAAGCCAGGACGTTTTCAATTAGGGCTAGTTGCTGGTACTCACATTATCCTGGTGGCATCGCGCTGCCGCACCGACTCATCCCGATTGAGCACTTCAATGATCATCTTCCGCTCGTTTTCCGACAAATTTTCGAGCACCTGCGACGTGGCCACGGCCAACTCGGGGCCCAGGGCATCGATGGTCTCGCCGGGTATGCTATCGGTTCCCACGTCGGTCGTTGCAGTGCTGGCGCCGCCGGACATTTGGCCAAGGCCAAAGCCGCTTGGCAGCATGCCGCTCGACATGCTGCCCATGCCCATGTTCATGCCCATCTGGAGGCCGCTTACGCCTAAGCCCGACGCCGAGCCAGCACTGCCGTTGGCTGTTGCATTGCCGCTGCTGTATTGCAGCATGTTGTTGCTGTTGGGCTCACCAGCTGCCGCTGCTGCTGCGGCGGATGTTGCAGCTGCCACGCGGTGCTTGTTGTTGGCGTTCTGCGTGGACGTGGACGTGGGCGTGGGCGTGGGCGGTAGGCGTGCGCTGCGTCCACTTGACATACTATACAGGTTCACGGAGTTTTCCTATTTGCTGTTCCTTGAGTTTCGTTTTATGTAGCTTCCTGTGTGTCTGTGTCTGTGTGTGTGTGCGTGTATCTGCGTGTATCTGTTCTTTGGGAGTGTGCGTGGGCTTGCCTTTGTTGTTTTTTGCGCCGCTGTCAACTGCAAGATCCCCAAACACACTCCAATAAGCCGATTCCGTTGCCGCCTTTGACTTTACAGCTTGGTAATTGTTTTTGTTGTTGTTGTTGTGGATGTGGTTGAGGCTGTGGCTTACTTTTTTTTTCTTCTACGAAATAGTACAGCAGTGCTCAAAGGATCGCATAACAATTGCTGCCTTGTTGGCTATCAATTTACGACCTGTAAAATACGTAAAAGGTAGACAATTATTTATCATAAAATATTTTCAGAGTCGAAATTTCTAGTTAAAATCGAATAACTGAAATATAAGTATATCTGCAGAGCTCAGCAGAGTTAAATATACTTATTGATCTTTTTTAATTTTACTCTTGACATATTTTTTTTTAAATTATATATTTTTCTTTTTTGATAACTTTAATATTTTTAAAACTTCAGCTATAAGTATAAACAAGTTTTCTTTAGTAGCAATATAATCTTGCTTTGCACGCAACTTTCCAGCTCTGCAATTTCAAGTTTGCATCTTAACATGCACTTAAAGTCGTTAGCCAAAAATGTTGCATACCTTTGGGCGCACTTTTAGTACAATTTAAGTGAGTACCCAGAATCTTAGCAATTTGCAATTTCTGGTTCATTTACAGAACTGAATTCATTTCCATTAGATTACTACGTTACTCTGCAAGTTGCTTTGGGGCAACCAGAACTGTTTTCTTTAAAGTCCCTGAAGTGGGCTCTTAAGTGCCAAAATATGAGGCACAGCGGAGCCCAAAGTGTAACTGGGAAGGCCAGCAAAACGTTTGACATTTCGAAAGGAAAACTCAGTTATAATATTGAGCATATCAGTGTGCTGCAAAAAAAATAAAAAACCAAAATCAATGCAAAACGGAAACTTAAATGCACAAAAAAATCACAACACTCGCACACACAGAGAGCGAGAGAGAAAGAGAAACACGCCCACAGCATGTGGCAGTCGAAAAAAATTTCATGTGGCATAGATTGACGGTTCGTTGTGGCAGCCACAACAAGCTTGAACGTTAGTTAGCCAGCTCTCGTGGTTGTGGGTGTGTGTGGGTGTATGTTTATATCTAACGTCTGATAACACACACGCATGTGCCTGGGCTTCCATTAAAAGCGAATTACAATGTCAAACATAAATTGGAAAGCACGAAAAAACAAATGATAAATTGCAATAAAACTGGAACAACTGTTTAATTAACGTTAAGCATATTTAAATACAAATAAGAGCCCTCTTAATGCATTGTTAATAAATTACGGCAAATATTGCCTCAATTTGCCAAAGCTGGAAATTATTGAACAAAATGTATTTTTATAAAAAAAAAGGTTTAAATTGTATCGAATAAATATATTTTATTATAAATAAAAAAGGCATTCATTTGTATTAATTGAGCGCTTCAGTGTAAGCTTCTCTTTTATCATTTAATTCAAATTTAAATTTTAAATATGTTTAACTAAATAAAAAACAAGGACATGAGCGTAAAATGTAGTTTTCATTTATTGTAAATATATTTTAAAGGAAAAATTAAAAAAAAAAAAAACATTGTAAATATTTAATATAAACGATGGATATCTTAAGGATTTGACTGAATTTCCCAAAATATTTATGAAAGTTTTCCTTTCTGCCCTTCTTCTTTACTCTTCTTTACCGAGTCATAGGAGCGTAGCCCTAACAAATGGTTGAAGAAACCAATTTTAAGAAAAATGGAATACAAATTTAAATTTGGAAATGCTTCAAATATATACATTTTTTCTATTTTAAAGGTGAAAGTCTTTCTAAGGTGAAGGCTTCACACAACTGTGTGGGGCTTAATAAAAATGCCGCCACTTCATAGTTACCTGCATAGCTTTGCAAAATTAATTAAAACGCTATAAATAAACTGAAAACTAGCTTGGAGTGCACTGCCCACACAAACACAAAAACACACACACACACATAGACAAGCATCCCTACGTATAGCCGTACGGTTAGCCCTAGGCTTTAACGAGAGTCAGTTAGTTGAAAAAAGGAGAAAAAAATCAATTTAATGTGATGAATGTGTGGGCATATGCGAGTGAGTGCCTGTTACAGCTATACGATTGTGCGATAGTGTGCGTGTGTGTGTGTGTGTGTTTGTGCCACACAAAGTTACAGTAACTGAAAGAACAATGACAGCAGCAACAGTCAAGAGACATTTAAATGACAATGACAGTTTAACTGTGCCACCAGCCGAGGCACAAAAAGGGACCTCAAACAACAATCAGGAGCCACGGCCAAGGGGGCGGAACGGAAATGGAATACACCAGAGCGCTTGCATGCAAAGTCCAACTGTTTTATCGACTCTCACACACGCACACACACACAGACTTGTGATTAAAGCGGAAATGCTGTTGCCGTCGTCGCTGTAACGTTACCTAGCACAGCGCCCACTGGAAACGTGGATGAAGAAAGTTGAAAATTGAAAATGCCTTACAGATGAGCGCGCGCGGGTGTGCGACGTCTGTATGTGTGAGTGTGTGCGTGTGTGTGGGCGTGTGTAACGTCTGACTGACAGCAAAGACATGCAATATCAATTGAAAGGCAGCAAAACGCGCCACACTCGACACTGGATGCTTAGGCAGCAGGCATCCTGAATACGCAGAGCGAGAATGGGACAGGACAGAGCAGGACAGGACACGACAGAACAGGAGAGGATGCGACGAAGCTGACTGCCTATTATCCTGACGCCTCGATGATGGATGCGCAGGCAGCATCGCATGAGCAACAGATCCGAGAACCGAGGGGGCCCCCTCCCTTGCCGTGACTGCGTGTGGGGCAAATGTAATTAAGCATTTGCACGCCGCCAGCCCGAAGACAGCGTGTGCCATCCGGGCTCATCCGTTGCACAGCGCTTGTCTTATTGAAAATATGAAAGATGCACACGCATGCAATAAATTGAGCACAATGGAATTATTGTTATTGTTGGCTCTGATGGCTGGGATAATGGCATCCATTTCACATCGCACTGGCTGAATTTTCAATGAAGCTCACCTCACGTAATGTGCAACAAGCCGACACACAAATTAAGCACATATCTGCACAAAAATATCCATTGGAAGGCTCACTTTAACGAATGCGTTGCCATATTGGCATGAAATGTCACAGGACAAGTCCCAGGCGCTCGGGCCAACTCGACTATTTTTAGGCCAATCCAGTGGCAGATGAGCTAGTTGCTGGTAATTGAATCGAACTCGAACACACAAGTCAATTTCAGTTAGCAGGAAGGCATCAGGCAGCAGGCAGGTTAAAAGTTTTCACTTTGAAATTTAAATGCACATTGCTCATACGTCATGTTGCACAGGCGAAAGAGGTAAACACCTGAAAGGCAAGAGTAAGAGTAACAGCAGCAATGGCCGCAGCGACAGCGGACATCATGAATAAACAAACGTATGGAAATAGAGGCAACATTTCAGTGTCACTGTCAAATATGTATGCAGGCGAGCATCAACATTGTAGAATCTGTGCAAATACGACTGGGTCAATGCTAAAGCATCGGAAGTAATGTTGACAATGTCGACAGCAATGCCAAAGTGCTTGCTGTTGTGTTCCTAAACGGCAAAAGAAACGAAGAAAGCCGCCCAGAAGGCAAACAAACAGGATACAAAGCTGATATCAATTGAATTGTGACAGAGGAGAGCAGACAATATATATTTATTTCGTTTACCATAAATGACATCCCATATAAAAATGTTTTAAAACGAATACATATAGTACATAAATAATTTATTTATGCAGTCATCGCTAGCGAAACTACGAGAATTCGGGCTACCAAAACACAGGCCACTTATGGAAGAAGGTCATAGTTGACAGACTCATTTAAAAATAGTTGGCTTTTAGCTAATTAGCTTTTAGCCACTTTGGTATGATGTTTCGTGAGCACATTTTTTGTTGTTGTTGTATCATAAATGCTTACAATATTTTAATCAAGAATTTCACTTAAAAATGATTAAACAATTTAGGTCAAATTCTGTTAAAAATATTTCTGGGAATACTTTACTAGCTAAAGCAAATATATAAGTATTTAATACCTTGCAAAGTCGACCCCTAAGACCTACATGCCAAACACTCTGAATACCAGAGGCTTAAAAACTTGACTTGGCAACTGCACACTCAACAATTTCAGGCAACCAAATCGAAAGGGAAGAGCTCACTCGCAACGGCTAGAAGAGTATTAAGCACAGGAACACCACAAAGCTATAATCAATGTCAAGTCGTTTAGCAAAAACTCTGACAAATATAGACTCACTTTGCTCAACAATGTGTGTAATAGCATATTGCCAGCTTGTGTGAGTGTGTGTGTGTATGCGTGTGCAGTGCTGTTGCGCTTCTCTGCTCTCGTGTGCCCTACTCATACAAAGCCTTAAACTCAGCTCAAATGGCGCATATATTACATACTATAAAATAAACGTTAGGCATTGCTACAAATGCACGCACACTCTGCCACACTCTCTCCGTCTCAGACACACACACAGACACGCACACAGACATGCCACATAGACAGACAGGCTGCTCTTTACCGGTCTCATTCATAAGTATCTATGGATAACTTGCTGGTGTCAAGTGCTTGTCGACAAGCTTGTCGCTGACGCGGCCCGGTCTACTTTAAGTTCCAGCTACGCGACTCGACCGGTGGGCGTGAGGGGCGTGTGGAGGCACTGCGGCAGCCACGTCAAATAAAGACATGTGAGGCGCTGGAGTTTATGACATGAGCTGAAGATAGAATCTGAAATACGCATAGGCCGTGCGGCCGTTAAATTCAAGAAATCATGTTTTATTCTAATCAAATTGCTTATTTGTGTGTAAATTGTGTGCATCTTTTTTTTCTGTGTGTAATAGCGTTAAAGCAGCTCTAATTATATAAGCCACATCGATATCGATAAGTGATTCGATGTT